CTAATAGCCACTGATGGACCTCTGCTCCATATGCTTATCTAATTCCCTTTTGAAGCCGTCCATGCTTGTAGCCACCACCACTTCCTGTGGCAGTGAATTCCATGTGTTAATCACTCTTTGGGTGAAGAAGTACTTCCTTTTATCCGTAGTCCAGAAGCACCCCCAAACTCCGAACCCCAGAAGCTGGCACCAAAGGTACCCCATCAAAGGTCGGGAGAGGGAGCCCTAACCCCGTCCCACTCCGACTCAGGCCCAGGATCTCCGTCTTCGTCGGGTTTAGTTTCAGTCGGCTCAGCCGGAGCCAACCAGCCACAGCTTCTAATGCCCGATGAAGGTCATCGAGACTCGAGTTCGACCGGCCACCCAGCATCAGATAGAGCTGGGTGTCATCTGCATACTGATGACACCCAAGCCCATAACTCCGGGCAATCTGGGCAAGGGGGCGCATATAGATATTAAATAGCATCGGGGACAACACTGCTCCCTGCGGCACCCCACACTCAAGGGGATACCTACGGGAGCGCCGGTCCCCGAGAACCACCCTTTGTCCCCGACCTTGCAGGAAAGAGGCAAATCATTGAAGGGCAAGCCCCTGAAATCGTCGGCGAGGTGGTGGGTCAGCAGCTGGTGGTCGACCGTGTCAAACGCAGCCGACAGGTCTAACAACACCACAATTTTTGGCTCCAATGTGCATCACCTTGCACTTGGCCACATTGAACCCCATCTGCCATGTTGACGCCCACTCGCCCATCCTTGACAGATTCCTTTGGAGTGCCTCACAATCCTCACTGGTTTTCACCACCCTGAACAACTTTGTATCATCCGCAAATTTAGCCACTTCATTGCTTACTCCCATCTCCAAATCATTAATGAACAAGTTAAAAAGCAGTGGACCAAGTACTGATCCCTGTGGTACCCCACTGCTTACCTCCCTCCACTGAGAAAATTGTCCATTTATACTCACTCTCTGTTTTCTATTAATTAGCCTGTTTTTGATCCATAAAAGGACTTGTCCTTCTATCCCATTATTTTTGAGCTTAATCAGGAGCCTTTGATGAGGATATGGAAACCTCTAACACCCCCCCCCCCTGTGCTTCCCTTTAAGCCAGCCCCCATGTTAGGTATTCTATTGATCCAGAAAGCAAATTCAACACCTTAGAATCATTAGATCAATGGCAATTGCTGAATGTAGATATTGGAGTCTCTGTCACTAATGGCATGGATTCATAGTATTTTAAAATGTGACCAACTTGTAGTGGGATCCTTGATGGCATCTCACTCATCAGAACTTATGCCAGGACAGTGTTTTAAATCAACAAGATTTTGCTTTGGGCTGCAATATACAGTTTTCTCACTGAAACTTGACAATAGGGATATTTGGAATTTTGTTCAGTATTGATGAATTTGGGCTTCTCTGTGTACTGCTCAAGTGGTCACTAGTGGTTGTTGCTTTAAGTTAATTGTTATTAAGGTGATAGGGTAAATATAGGTTATGATAAGTTTATTGTTTCTGTGTGTGTTTCTGTGTGCTCAATGGATCACTACTTCTTGAGTTCTGAAATAGAATTTGGTGGGACTCAATGCAGTTTTCCAGAACTAGTTTGAATTTTATATGCAGCTGCTTTAAAACTGCAGTGAATGATGATGTTTGGAAACTGGTGTTTGTACAATACTTCTGGTCACTACAACCCAGGAAAATGAATTCTGCTTTTTTTTACCTCTAGCCAAAAAAGAAGAAAAATATCTCCCATGATGCATTTGGTACAAAATATGGACGGATCCATATGCAGAAACAGGATCTGGATAAACTGCAGACTAGAAAAATGAAAGGGTTAAAGAAAAGGCCAGCTGAAATGAAGACTGGAAATGAACACAGTCCAAAGAAAGCAAAGTTGGGATGATAAAGTGAAACTGGTCTGAGTACTTGACATTGATGCTGTTCTGATTTTAAACACCATATATTCCTAAATTTAAATTCAGTGATTGGTTTGAACAAGTGACTGGTTTGAACCACCTTTTCTCAATGCAGTGGCATCCATGATCCTTGTGGTCATTTATGCTTTTAAAGTATTGTCGCTGAAAATATTAAAATATATTTGTTTTCTAAGTAATTGAAAAATAAATTCATGAGATGTCCTTCTAAACTTTAAGGGAGTGTGTTCCTGACAAAAATGAGCATATCACTTTGAACATAAGAATGTTATGAAGCGACTGTTTCTCTACACTTTCTTTGTGATATCTTCCCTCATTGGGAGGGGGACATTTTTTCTTATCTTGCTAGTAAGGAATATACAAAAGAATACTACAAAGAAATGCAGAAAGCATAAAGTCATTGTGCCTCATGGTCCTGCATCACTCAGACATCACTAGAACATCAGACACCCTTAAGGAATAGCTGCAGATTTCATCTTCATGTGAACTATCACATGCTACAATACAACATCAGATACAAGGCCCAGCACCCACCAAGTCTGAAAATTGAATTGCAGCATGAGTTTAATAGTGTCTGGGAGGCACAGGTCTTACTCTTTGTGGGAAAGCCTTGTACTGTTTCTCACATTCTGTCACTAAATGATCATTTCTGGGGGGAAACAGTAGCACCTTAAATTTTCAGTTGTGTTTTAAAAAGAATGCTACAATACATTTGTTACTTAAACTTTAATCAGCTACATGGAGTGGTCTCTCTCTCTCTCTCTCTCTCTCTCTCTCTCTCTCTCTCTCTCTCTCTCTCTCTCACACACACACACACACATACACACACTCACACACTCACACACACACACACACGTGAGAGAACAGAAGAAAAAGAATATGCATACACTTAACAAAGGCCAAAAGATGGAGCAATGCAGGAGATAGCAGTAGGTGTGTCACGCTTGTATGCAGAGAACAAATGAATTCAAGGTCGACCCCCTCACACATTGCATAGCTTCTTGATTAATAATACAAATAAAATGCCTAAAAGAAGGCAATTATGTCTGGTAGTGACCAAGCCACTCTTTGTGTCTATTTCAACTTGTTAGAGCTGAGTGATGAGTAAACTAGGGATCTGAGAGGAATTGCCAGGGTGGGGAAATCTATTTGGAAATCCCACCTACCAAAAATGTTGTTCTTCCACATTTGTTTCTACTCCCAGGGGTAAGAGTAGGCTGGTTCTTCTACTTTTTAAACTAATATTCATCTGTTCTCAAACTTTCATCTGTTCAGAAGTATAACTTCTGATATAATGAAGTAAATAAAATAGTCTACTATACAGGGGCCAGCCAGTATACTATTGTTTATCTATTAAAGTTAGTGACAATATGGAGGTGCTCAGAGGAGGGAGCAGCAGTTCATAAATCCTTCCACCCCAGAATTCTTTAAACTCTAGAAGACTTAAGCACACTGATTTGTCATCCCCCCCCCCCCAGCATTCTCTGTGCCTTTTGGCAACTTCATTCTTTCGGTTTTGGTCATTTTCACATAGTGTCAGGTCTCCCCTGTCGGATGGCGGGGTGGGGGGGGGTAGGGTTGCCAGATACATGTTGGAAAATTCCTGATTTGGTGATGGATTATGTTTCTGTGCTTGACATCAGCTGGCATTGCCACAAAAACACTGGGTTCTGCTGGGTACTCTGTACATTGCACTGGTTCTGCTGGGCTTGCAAAAATGCCCCTCTTCAAATTTCTCTGAGCCCTGAGGCTTCTGATAAGACTGCCTTTGTGTCACCTTTGTGCCATTATCAGTTTAAGATGCCATTTGGATTAAATGGCGCTCCAAAGACCTTTGGCTGGTTTGTGTAAGAAAAGGGCCCCTACTAAGGTAATCTGGACCTCTGAGTGCCAACAGGCCTTTGATGATTTGAAGAAGCAGCTGGTGCAAGAATCCATCTTGGCGCCTTCCAATTATAAAAATCCTGTCGTGGTTAGAACTGATGCTTCAGAGAGGGGACTGTGTTGCTTCTAAAGGGAGGTGACGAGGAGCTTCACCCTGTTGTCTAATTGAGCAAGAATCTGTGGCCCTGAGAGCAAGCCTTTTGTACCCTGGAAAAGGAGGGGCTAGCTCTGGTTTAGGCCCTTAACAAGCTGAGGCCATATTTGTGTCAGGTTTTTAATGGAAACACACCACAACCTGTTGTCCTTCATTCATCGGATGAAGGGAAATAATGCCTGGATTCTGAGGTGGGCCTTGAGCCTGCAGGATTTCAGTTTTAAAATTGCTCCCATTAAAGGCAATCAGAACACTGTGGCTGATAGTCTGTCCCGTCAAGGGGGGAATGAGGCCTTGGGAGGGGATTGTTTTGTAGTTCTTCGGTATTATGTATGTTGCTCTATTATCTTATGCAGCTATAAATACCTTAATCTACCTCGCTTGATAGAACTGTAGTTGCTTTGCCTAGGTATGCAAGCTTTGATCATGGTTAGCCCATGAATCTCAGCTTTTCCCCGGGGTGGGGAGGCACAGCACCCCGATACCTCCCAAGGGTTAATATGAATAATAATAGGCTTATTCCATCTTGCAGCTGTTGCTAATTGGGCCTCTCTGCCTACATGGCCCTTCTTCAAGGCCAGAGTTAGGAATGTGATAATTAACTCTTTATGAGAACCTGAGGCCCAAAGAATGGGAGGGGTGAATTGGGAGTGATAGATAATTTTCTAGAGGGTTCCAACAAGAATATATCCTGATTGGATTGTTATCATCACCTGATGCTGGTTGGGCAAAAACCTATAATTGAGCTAAGAACCTGGAAAAGGGAAACTAGTTTGTATTCTAATGTACAAAGGCCTGGACTATGATATGCTTATATTGCAATGGACAGCAGTGTAGAAATGCTTAAGCTATGGTCTTTGACCTTGGGACATTAAGATTGTGCCATCTAAAGCAGGCTTCAAATGTGTTTAATAGTTAAGCTAGTCTTTCTTGCTTTCTTTTACTGTATGATTTTAGAGTTGTGTGTTGCCTAGAGATAAAACTTTCTGAAAATTATTCAAATAAAATTTATAATTTTTACAAGGATTGGGATTTTTGTTGGTATTTTTTGCATGTGTGTGTCCATGCCTGGAAGTCATGGTGACCTCTGGTGACTCCTACTGGGGAATGGAGGAAGTTCAGAGAAGTGGCTTGAGAGCCTGCCTCCGCCTCCCAGCCCTGGTATCCTTTGGAGGTCTCCCATCCAAATACCAGGGTCAGCCCTGCTTGGTCTCCAAGATCTGATGATATCAGGCTTGCCTGGGCTATCCAGGTCAGGGCATGGATTGTTTTCTTGTGCACACTAGCTCTGGGAACCCACGGTGTTCAGGCTTGGACTCGACACATACCTATTCTAAACACTGTGGGAGTTAATATCACAGAGTTTAATTAAAATAACTCCCAAACAAATTGGCACAGGGCTGCAACCTTAGGTTCTTAAGCTTCTAACAAAGTGTAACATGATGCTTTCTCTTGGATTAAAATGTGATGTTTACCATAACAGGACTTATTGTACTTTCCCTCTCCCTTCAAAAACAAATTTTAAAACTCCCACAAACTGTGTGGATTGAATGGATGTTGAAATTTGCCTTTCAAAACAGGCAAAAAACTAACAAAAACTTAGCTCCTTTGGTCTATAGCAAAACTCAGAAACCTCTTATTAAGACCAATCAAAAACACTGCCTGGTGTTGTGTGGGTTCTCCAAAACAACTCATTAGGCTAGATGTTAAAAAGCACAAAGGGCATGGGGGAGATATCTCTCAAGCCAAGATCTTAAGACCTCTTCCTTAACATCTTTATGGAGTAATTTCCTGACTTCAATGGGCACCAGGTATGGATGGGATGTGGTTGTTTTCTTGATATACTGGGGACAAATGAAAGGAAGGAAGCCATCCAGTTGAAGAAATAGCCAATAATTGATCCAATGCCTCTTTGGAACAAGATAGAACACACAGGTCCATTAAAAGTCACACAACACCAGGCAGTGTTTTTGATTGGTCTTAATAAGAGGTTTCTGAGTTTTGCTATAGACCAAAGCAGCTAAGTTTTTGTTGGTATTTTTTGCATGTGTGTGTCCATGCCTGGAAGTCATGGTGACCCCTGGTGACTCCTACTGGGGAATGGAGGAAGTTCAGAGAAGTGGCTTGAGAGCCTGCCTCCGCCTCCCAGCTGTGTTCCATTTATTAGGCCATACTGAATAGAGGCAGAACATCTGAAATTATTCCAGTTTTCATTTGGCAACATGCTGTTAAACAAACCTCCTCTAGGAGTATATATTGGAGTTGGAGTGATTTTCTCCATTATTAAGTTTCTTGAATAGGGTGCTTTACACTTCTGAGTAAAAGTAACCCAGGGGACACAGGCACAGACTATAAATAAAGCTTTATGTGCAGCAATGAATGTCCTTGTTTAATGAAAATTAATAAAATACTTAAATGTGCTTGCTATGAACCAGATCCAATGCTCTTATTGCACTTAGATTTTTCCTAGATAGAACGTGTTATGCTTGGACAGTAGATGTTATGGGCTGAGAGTTTAAACTAGTTGTGATATGTTTACAATTAACTATAAAAGTTGGACATCAGTGTATTATACCCCAGTATGTATATTTTGTACTGTGAAAAATAACATAAAAGGAAAGTTCCATGTTAAGTATTATTTTGTGAAGCAGTATTTTCTTTTTTTCACCCTATATTCACTGCCCATCATTTCCATTGGGAGATGCAAAGTTCCAGTGTCATGGAAGAATAAAAAGTATCTATGCACACCATTTGTTGTTGTTCAGTCGCACAGTCGAGTCCGACTCTTCGCAACCCCATGGACCAGATCACGCCAGGCCTTCCTGTCTTCCACCGTCCTCTGAAGTTTGCTCAATTTCATATTCATTGCATCTATGACACTGTCTAACCATCTCATCCTTTGCCGTCCCCGTCTTCTTTGACCTTCAATCTTTCCCACCATCAGGGTCTTCTCCAGTGAGTGCTCCCTTCTCATTTGGTGGCCAAAGTATTTGAGCTTCAGTTTCATTATCTGGCCTTCCAGGGAACAGTCAGGGTTGATTTCTTTTAGGATTGACTGATTTGATCTTCTTGCAGTCCAAGGGACAATTTTTGCTGGACTAAACAGTCATGGAAATACCTAGGAATTCATATTCCAATCAATCTAACTGAACTAATAAACTACAACCATGCAACAGTGGCCAAGAAATTAAGCAAACTTCCTCAAGCAGTCTCTTCTCCTCTAACCACGTGGATAGAGAAAATCCAAGTCTTAAAAACATTCATTTCCCCACAATTCTTATACCTGTATCGGGCTATTCCGATACTAATTCCACCTACACTTCTAAAACAATGGCAAAGACTATTTTTATAATATATATGGAATAAAGCTGCTCACAGGATAAGCTCTAATACTTTAAAAAGATTACCCCAACAAGGAGGACTTTCGCATCCAGATTTATCTCTATGCTATGAAACCACAACCTTGATAGGTTTTATCAAACACTACAGCCAAAATTACAAAGCAGACTGGAAAATACTAGAAGATACCTACATGGACCACAACACTTTTCAGGAAACCAGTTGGGAAATCCCCACGCAAAGACCATCAGAAACAATATCTTCTTAAACAACACATTTAAAATATGGGATAAATGGAAATCAAAAATATCTCCTTACCCGTCGCTCCTAACACACTTTTTAAAACAATCCTGGTTTATACTAGGTTTTCCCGTCTGTTCATTCTCAACCTGGAAAAAACAAGGCATAACAACATTTAGAAATATA